AGAGAGAGAGAGGGGGAGGGAGGGAGAGGGAGGGAGGGAGGGAGGGAGAGGGAGGGAGAGAGGGGTGTGGCCCGCACTCTGGCTGCGTCGCCGGGGTACGCCCTGCAAGCCTGACGTTCTTGGTTCTCTAGAAGCTTCCTCTGGTCCCTTTTGCCATTTGCTGCCTCCGGCATGGCCCACTGGGAGTGCGACCTTCGGCAGCTGCTTCAGTCGAAGGAGCCGCATCGGGCGCTGAATCTGTAAGCTCGGGGCGGGCGCGACTTGCCTGAAGCACAAAGGCACCGATTTCCCATCGCTCCAAGTGAGAACAACTGCCTGGCAGCATCCAAATCCTCGCCCCCAAGTTCAAAGTTCATGGCTACAGGCAGGACCTGGTACTGACATCAACTTCTGCCCCGACATGCTACGACGAAGCGAAGCTTTTCGCTGGCCTTGTGCCGCCTTGGCTTGGATGACGGGGCATTCAGCCACTTGCTGGCCTTGCATACCCAGACCATCTCCGACCACGGCTGTCTCGAGCTCCTAAGTCTCCTCCAAAGCTGGGGAGCAAGCAGCTTCCGCAGACTTTGGCCTCTCAGCGACTGGCCACAGATCATAGTGACAAAAAAACACATCCAGCGGATCTTGCCTGCTCTGGGAAATCTTGTTGCGGGCCTTGACGGCGACTCCCGGCACCTGCACCTCTTCCAAGCCCCACGGAATACGAAGTCAACAGTCAAGAACAGCTACAATGCTCGTGGCCATACTCACCTTGTGTTCCTTCGGACTCGCATCCTTCCCCCTCAGCACCTGTTACGAATCACAGGATGCACAGAAGTCAGCCGGTAGCTACACCGTACCCGACCTGCAAAGCTATCTCCCTGAGCTCTGCATTCTCCGTCTTCAGGGATAGCAAGGCCTTTGAGTCAAGTTGCGGAACGCTAGAATATCAAATCTCTCTTGCCTCACTCGCTAAGATGCCGACGTGCGCATAGGCTTCAAGCTGAACAGAATTTCGTTCCTGAAGTTCCAGCCTCGCGAAGGACGTTGGACATATCCGAGCAGCGAATCCAAAAGAGTTCTGCCTAATCTTTTCTTTTTGCGTTGCAGCAAGCTTTTGGCGCAAGTCCTCCTGATGAAGAGGAACATTCTGGCACCAACTACAGTTTCGACCACCACTCCTTCTGCTGCTTGAGGGTCAACACTGCCAGCTTTAAAGTTGCAATGCTCGCATCATCTTTCTCCCAGTCCTGTCGCCGCTGGAGCACCCCAACACATCTGATGCAATCTATGCACTGGCAAAGTGAAGAATCTGGAAATCCGCATGTGTGATCCCGTCTCCATGCCTCCAGGTGTGGTGCTCTCGCATTCGGCAAAGTCGGCCTCAGTAGCGTAAGTATGTGCTTTCGGCTTTGAAGATTCTGCCAAGGCCAGCACGGCAGCTCTGGCAATGTCGGCGCGCTCGGTGCCAAATCTCGGCAGGCAAACTGCAAACTCGCTGCTTACTCGAGTCTTGAGGCAGTTGATCAACCCCAACATGGAGCCTTTGGCCAAAAAGATGTAGGGCGCGATGCACCATTGTAGGCTGAGCCAGATATCCCCAAAAAGCTGTGGCCAGCCTTCGCTGCCACATGCTGCTACACTCACATCCTCTGACGACATGAGTCGCCTCGACTAGTTCAGATATCTTCACCACGTCTTCAGCCACCCTCCACCGTCAATATAACACGAATTAGCATCCGATTTGCGCTTCGCGTCATGCCCCATACTTCAACAGTCAAAGTTCGCACAAAAGCCTGCAAAAGTAGTATGTGGCATCTCAGCGTCGTCCAAAGGGAAAAATCGTCTGGGCCTAGGGCGGCTGCTTCGCGACTTTTTTACATCTTTCTACCTTACAACCCCTGACTTGTGCATTGAGTTAGTTGCCATGTGAGCGCTGCACTCTTCTTGTAAAATCTCCTCCACCCCTGCTGGAGGCAGGCCAGGCGCCTGAAAGCGCCTCTGGCTACAAGAAACCTCGCCCGTTCCCGCTTCGTCAGAGGTGCTTTGGGCTTCTGCAAAATGCCCCCCCAAGCTTTACGCTCATGTGGAGGATCCGGTCCGACTTCACATGGTAGCAGTTGGAGCAGCATTTAATTTCACGGGCTTGCGCAGACTGAGCTACCCTCACCTTACACACTAAGCGTGCGGCCCATGTTTCCCATGGCCTTCAAACCACAAGCAAGAATTGGGTACACGGTGCAGTGCACAGCTCGGTGCCTGAATGCCTCCCCAAGCTGGACGGGCTGGCCTGAGCAACATGTGCAACGACGATGCAGAGCCTCTCAGACATGCCACTGAGGCCAGGCACTCCGTCTGGACATATGCCTAAGCTTCCACTTCGCTTGCAAATCGACAGGAGCACAACACGCGTCCTATCCCCGGCCTGCTTCCGTTCGCTTGCTTGTTGCCCGCGCCTTCTGGCCTCATCTTTTGTGTGCTTGCCCAGGTAGACCTGGCTTTTTGCGTAGGATGTAGTCAATGAAGCTGTAAGCGAGCTCGACAGGAACTTCTTCTCGCGCTCCAGTTTGAATATGGTTTCCTGCAGCTCTGCGTTGCGAGCCTCAAGCTCTGTCACTTTTGCTGACAAGGCTTCTGTTTCTTGATCCGGCACTGACTGACAGGATTCAGGTGTCGCTTCCATGAGCTCTGGCTCAGGCTGCAGTTCTGGGCGCTCTTCCACTTCAGGCTCGCTTGGCAGCTCGGTTGGAGCCTGGGAAAGCTCGGCTTCTGGTTCCTCAGAAGTGGTTTTTCCCTCGCCTGCCTTGGCATCTTCAGCCTGCTGGGCCTGCTCGGCGCTGCTCTCAGCCAGGAAGACCGGCTCTTCCTCAGCCTTGCCATCGAGCAGTGCAAGAAGGACCGGTGCGGGCGGCTCCTCCTCCTCCAGGCTCTGCTCGGGACTCTCCTCCGGACTCCCCTCGGGGCTCCCCTCCGCCAGGCTCCCTTCCCCTTCCCTTGGCAAATTCACCTCCAGGACGTCACCCGGCCTGCAGCCCTCGGGCACTGTCAACTCCATCGCTGAACCGTAGGTGCGTACGGTCAGCACATCCCCCGGCCGGCATTGGGATGGGACCGTCAGCTCCACCTTGTCACAATCCCCTTCGGCCTCGGTCTGCCCTTCGGCCTCGGTCTGCAACTCGGGGCCCTGCAAGCCGCCAACTTCTGGCCGATACAGAACGACCGCAGGTTCGGACGTGAAGCTCACGTGCCGCTCCGTCTCACCTTGAAGCCCTCCCGCTTCAGACCCTTGTTTGTCTGATGGCTCCTCGGGGGGCTCGGGTGGGTCTGGGGACTTCATGAGATCATCTGCAGGCACCTCTAGCTCAAGCACGTCATTCGCCTTTTTACCTTTCGGCACGGTGACCTCGAACGGAATGTCGTCCAGCAAAACCTCAAACACATCACCTTCCTCGCAACCTTCGGGTATCGTCACCTCTGCTCGGATCCAGGATGTCGTTTCCTGGGCTCCACCCGCCCAAGCCAGCCCTTCATCGTCGGAGACATCGTCGAAACCATCTACCTCCATCTCCGCCATGCCGCTGCCGCCTCGGCCCTTATTGGAGGCCTGCCATGCGCCGATGCAGGAGCTCTAGCAGCTCTAGCATGACAAGCTGGGCTCATACAGAAGCGCACGCCTCTTTGGGCGTCTCCTCCCGCCTCAGGAACGGCAAGGCAAATCCTCACAGTCCGAAGGTCCGATCGCAGGCGTGCAGCGGCATGCATCTGCGCTTTTTAAGCATTCAAACGCAGACGGGGTCAGCCAATCCTTCACAGCCTGTTGCCGAGTGCAGAATTGTAGCACACAAAAGTATGTACGGATACCGATGGCTCAAAGATCCGGCTCACCATTTTTGAAGTGCGGCACCACATTGTCGTACAAGATGCCGCAGGTTCCGCAGACCTTCACCTGCTTGGGTCCGCCTTCACATCCGGTCCCTTCTTCGGGCTGATGATCAATACCACAGTAGCTCTCCTCGTCCTCCCGTCTCAAGAGCCGGATCTTGCCATCCTCGCCCCAATTTGGCCCCCAGGAATTCTGAATGGTCCAGTACATCTTGCCATTGCTCTTCTCGACACCGTAGCCCACAAGCGTAACCGCGTGGTTAATGACCGCATCTTTTTCACAGGAGTCGAAGATGCCGTACATGTATGCGCTCCAAGTCGTTGCATCTACCGAGACAGCCACCGGGCCGCGCTCGCTTATTGCGCGCAGCAGCTCTGAGTAGCCGTTCTCCTTCAGCCGCTCCCAACCGGTCATGAACTTCAGCCCCGGAGCATCAGAGCTCGCAGCATGGAAGCCGACTGCAGCCACATCCAAATCTGTGTCACCCGTGGAGTCGCCCTGCAAGAGGGAAGCAGCAACCCCCTGGCAATGCCCGTCGACTGCTTCGTAAGGGACATCTGCAGCTGTCTGCACCGGATGGTCCATGGCATACTGGAAGGCCAACTCAACGGTCGCTCCGCTGCAGGCACCTGAGCCACCGCACTTCTTGGGGTTGGCGACGCAGGAAACGAGCTCCTGGGCTGAGAAACTCCTCTGCTTGGACTTGTAGATCTCTGCGTGGCTGTCCAAGACCGTACTTGCTGTCACAGCCCAGCAGGAGCCACAGCCTCCCTGATCGCGAACGTTTTCGAGTGAAGACAGAGAGGTCCAATTCAGGAACTCCTGAGGTGTGTCTGCAGATCCAAGTTGTGCTAGAGAGGCCATCCGAAGGTTGCCACGGGCCTTGCGACCACCTCGGGCACTTCCAAACCAGCCCCGGAGAGACTGGAGCTCTTCTTCACTTCGATCGGCCAAAGGTCCCGTTCCGGCGGTCCACAAACGCCCTGGGCGACTGTTGAGACGCTCAGCAAGGAGAGCTGCATTGCGGTACAATGCAAATCGCTTTTCGTACTCTTCGGTGCCTTCCTGGTATGTTCGGCCGTACTGTTGACGAAAGCCATCAAACTGCTCTCTGAGAGGATGATGCGATCCGACTTCAGCACCGAGCGTGTTTGAGATCAGCGGCAAAAGGCACACAAGTCTGGACGCCATTGCTGCAACTAGATCACTACCTGCTTTCGATCTCGGAAATGGAAGTGTCCAGAAAGGACACGAAATTTGCTGTCGTCTAGGCTCACTAGGTTTGAGCCACTGCAGGCACCAGAAACCCAACCTTCTTCATACTGCAACACCCTTGCACAGTCGCACACCATTGCAGACAATTGCGAGCTCGTTGGAAGAAGCTGCATGGTAAGAGTCCCGGCACCAGCACCAGACTTCGAGGTGCTGAGACTGCGGTGGCTGGGACCAGCATATAAAGCCGAATGCACCGTCGAAAACTTTCTGTCGAACACGCAACTGTCTTAGACCTTGCCTGCCCGGTCGACAAACGTCGAACCAGGCTGGGCCGCGCAGCATGGCGGCAAACCACTTCTCTGGTAATTGACTCAAGTTGTGTGAGACTTCTTGCTTCCAGTTCGAAAACGGATACCAGCTCCCTTTCCACACAGCCGCCAACGACCCAAATATGTACATGCCCGAAAAAAATCTCACGAAATTTGCCACTCGCAACTGAACGAGTTAGGAAAATCCTTGAATAGATGTTGAAGAAGCAAGAGATAGCAAGAGGCACTACACATGACTCCCATGTACTTACAGCCAGCAGGGCGAACGACCAGCCTGACACAAACCGCTTAATGCACATCCAAAGTGATATCCTCGGAAACACTGCACAGCAACGGTCGCGGTTTAGCAGCCATACTGGTCGCAGTAGTCTGTGTTGACGCCTTCGAAATGATATAGCTGTGGCAATGCCGGAGTGGTGCTGGTGGTGCTGGTGGTGCTGGTGGTGCTGGTGGTGCTGGTGGTGCTGGTGGTGCCGGGCGGCGGCAGCAGCGGTCGGTGGTGGTGGTCGTCCTGGTTAGTCGTGATCGTTGCTTTCCTCGTCGTAGTCGTCATCGACAGCAGAAGTAGAACTCCTAGGAATGATGACTGACAACTGTAATGGTAATCAACATGATCATAGTTACAGATGGCAAAACCCAATAGCAATGTCATGAGCGGCAACTGCAACAAGTCAAGCAAGGGCAGGGTGCAACCGTAACATCAACAACACTTGCACTTGGATGCGAGAACATTGGCAACTATGGCATGCGTTCTGCCTACATGTATCAGTAAATATCAGTAAACCTGACAGGACTGGGCGACATTGGCTCCAGGAAACCAAGAAGCAATGACCCCAAGACTGTAACCATGACAACAGCAAGCAGAATCAAATCAAGTACGGCAGGTCATTACAAAGCTGGGCTCAAGTTGAGGGCGCACACTCCTGTCGGGCTCGGGGCGAAGCGAACACGGATCTTGGATTGTGACGTCGCGGCCTTCGAGGCCAGCTTTGAGAAGACTCAGACCAAAGATGCTGAGCTGCGAAATGGCGGAGGATGACTACCTCCCGCCTCTGTTGAAGCAGCGCGCAGCTGTACTGTGCTACCTGGCATTTCGGAACTGAGTCGAAATCTGCGAACAGTCATAGCAAGGCCGGGCCGTGTAGAGAGCTCCTCGGACATCTTAATCCCAGATGCTTGGATGTGGGCCTGGCCAGAGGCTTCGCATGGCTTCGCATGGCTT